GGGGGGGGGGTCGAATAATCGATTATTATTCGCCAGGGCTGTCCGATTTTCGATTTTGAATCATGGTCTGTTTCTGGCATCCCTAATAAGTACATCAGGTTTCATAGAGCCAAACATTTCAAGTGCTACTCAACTAGCTTTAGATAAGCCAGTCCTTTGTTCGTATATAAGTGCTTTGTTAGTCATTTTGTGGAGTCGAAGGAGATGAGTTTTCAGTCTGCGCCGGAAGATGTGTAAGGTTTCTGCTGTCCTGATTTCAATGGGGAGCTCATTCCACCATTTTGGAGCCAGGATAGCAAACCCACGTGTTTTTGCTGATGGGAACTTGGGTCCCCCTCGCAGTGCGGGTGCAGCGAGCTGTTTGGCTGATGCAGAGTGGAGTGCACGTGCTGGGGTGTACGGTTTAACCATGTCCTGGATGTAGGAAGGGCCAGATCCATTCACATATAAATTGGGATTGTATTCTGTTGTAAGCGGCATGTAGCGAAGGGTGCAAATCAGGTGCAAAACTGCTTATCCACATTTTGTATTCGCAGTAAATTAAGTGTTCTTCTTGGTCTGAAATAATGCTTACTTAAAATACTTAAAAGTATCAAACTGATAAAGCTGTTTTGGTAAAAACACACATTTTTTAAAAGAAAGGAAAATCATTTCTGAGTATGACTGAAAGTCAGCAAATGCTGCATTTGTATTAACACTAAACTGTACAACAGGAGCCGTAGCACACAATGACAAAATGGTCTGTTGGTTTCTATTGCAATTTTTTTGTAACCAGTTTCAATATTAAATGAATACAAAAATATTGGTTTTTAATTCATGTTTGTGCTCAAATATTTCAGACTTGGTCTAATTGTTAATGTTTTTATTTAACTATGACAGCAGTGATGCAGTGCATGAGCATTTCATAAGGAAATAATACTTGAAACACAACCAACTAGACTGGATTTTTTTGTATTCCCAATTTAAGAAGTTCTATGTTCTCATTAAACAAATCCTATCCCTTTTTATTATATTTTTTTAATGCAACAAAATATGAAACTTTAAGGTTGCAACTTTTTTGCTGTTTATTTCTGATCAAAAACATTTTACAGACTTCTGTCGGACTCATTTTTAAGAGCGTTTAGCAACATCCTTTTCAAGATGGAAATGATATCTGAAAACATAATAAAGGATAACAAAAACAAATATACAAATGTGTTATGCTTGAGTTTAAATTTGAACAGGCAGGGTGGGGGAATTTAAATAATATATATGTTAACTTAATGCTAAAGGCACTAAAGAATGGCTTCTTTTCTAATAAACTTATACCTTTATTTGTCCCACAGAGGGGAACTTTACATTGTTACCTCAAAAGTGGAGATAGGGACAACAAATAAAAACACTATTAGAAAGGGCATGCACATAATATTTAAAATGCATTTTACAATTTACATATTGCACACAAGTGTTATTGCACAACAGAGGTGTCGTAGTCTTTGTTTATATGGATATGGAGTTTAGCAATTATCATAAAAGGATGAATCATTTACATCTTCCGTAGCAGACTGAAAACACACCTGTTTCAACTGCACCTCGGCTAATTAAAATAATACAATGAAATAAAAATAATATTTGAGAGGTGTAGCTTAATTGAAGCCATTGAACTAGCACTTACAATGTTTGTCGCTTTGAATGAAAGCAAATGCTAAATTAAATGTAATGACATTTATTGTCATGAAATATAATGTTTTTCTGATTATTATTTTCCAAGGACAAACCCAAACGCAAGATACACTGTACAATAAATCACCTCTGGCTGGAAGAGAACTCTCTGCTCCATAGTTTCTCTTGAAATAAAACCACGTTGTACATTTTACACATATATAATCTGTTCAATATTTAATATTTAATATTCCATGTCATATTTTTGAATATATATATTTGTATATATAATATCTACATGTATATTTTCTATTCTCTTTTCTTTTCTTTCTATTCTTGTTTATTTGTAGTTTTGTTTTAGTGTAAAATGCCTTGTCTTTTATGCTGCTGCAACAAAAACAATTTCCCAAATTGGGATCAATAAAGTACCATCTTATCTTATATTATCTTATCTTAAACGTCTCTACAATATTGTCATTAATGGGAGCACAAAGGTTTAGCTCAAAAAACAAATTTACAGTTTGGTTATTCCAAAAATAAATGCTCAATAGAGTCTCTATACACACCCACAGCAGAAATGTTTGTTTACTTATTTGCACCGTGCACCCGCGTGTATGACGTCGTGTTTACAGTGTCAGCACGCCCCCTGGTGGCGCGTGCCCGCTCCTCCTCCTCCCCTCTCTGATCAACATCCAGCCTGGTGATATCATTTGCTGCTAAAGCCTCCACACAGAAGCAAAATGGCCGATAGCAAACTAACCGATCACACAGCGTCTGACAGTCATCAAGGGGTTATGCATGTTTTGTTTACAGCGTGAGAACTACAGTCGCTCACAAAAAGGAATACTCGCCTTTTCCTCGTTTTTTTTCTACGATTATCCTTTCGGTGATGTCATTTCTTATTCAATTTAGCCTTGAACGCCTCGAAGAACTAGCTCGCTAGGCTAGCTACCTTTGCTAGCCTGCTAGCGGTGGGTCTGCAAGAATTTTTGCACAGAAGCACTTTATGTCCTATGTGATTCCCGAGGTGAGTATTTTAACATTAACGTAGCTTTCATATTGTATTTGCTTCTTAATCAAGTTGGATATTTCGCGTTTAAACAGGTAGTAACATTAGTGTTTCTCAGTTTATGTAGCTTGTTGCAATGCTGAAGAAACGTCACTGAAGTTCGTCGTTTGATTTGGCCCTGTCGACCGTTATCGTTATGAACCAGCCTCACTTGTTTTACTATAAAGTTACGAATAATTACCGTAAAGTATGTAAATTAAATGATATCTGTTCCACTGTAGACGAATAATTACCGTGAAGAATGTAAATGAAATCAGAATCGAGTTTATTGCCAGGTCCGTTAACACAACATTTTTCTTAAGTACAGTACTCGAGTAAATCTACTTAGTTACTTTACAGCACTGCGAATAATTACCCTAAAGTAGGCTAATTAAATTATATCTGTTCGACTATAGACAAATAATTACCGTAAATTAAATTATCTCTGTTCTACTATACACCAGTGGTGTAAAGTAACTAAGTACATCAAGTACAGAACTTAAGTACAAGTTTGAGATACTACTTCTACCCCCTCTAATTCGGAAGTAGATAGTGTACTTTTACTCCACTACATTTATTTAATACCTTTTTAGTAATTTTACAGATATGGATTAATGATGTGAAATCTGTAATCAACACTTAAATCAGACTTTAGTTATTCCTGGAGTAAATTAACAAGCTACCCTGCAGTATATAAAGTCATTAAAACTAGCTGCACCTCTACCAGCTTTGATAACAATTTAATAATCAATCATTATAAAACATATCACATTATTCTGGAATGGGCCAATCTGGACAATGAGTACTTCTACTTGTTGTACTTTAAGTATATTTAGGTGCTAATTATTTTACTTAATAAATATTTTGAATGCAGGACTTGTAACAGATAATTCCTGCTCTTTGGTACTTCTACTTTTACTACTACACAATTTTAGTACTTTTTCCACCTCTGGCATAAAGTATGTACATGGGATTATCTCTGTTTGACTATATATGGGGACATATCTTTAAATAACACGACGTGCTTTTTGTTTGTAGTCAACTGCGTAGAGGTTAGTTTTTAGTCCCACGGAAGCACCAGGCTTTGGGGCAAAGTACTCCCTCTAGCCCCCGGCTCTCAGGTCACTGCACACGGCCCCTCAGCTGGTTTGAAGTCGGTTAGCATTAGCTAGTTGCTAACTCGAGTGAAGCTCTGTTAGCTGCTCCTTACTGGCCTATTATTTACATAACATTCTCACTGTTTGCTCCTAAAGTGGTTGTAAACATCCGCTTTTTTAGGGGATACATGCAATACATAAACTGACCATTTAAGGTCATGCCAGGTGTGAATCTGTTTCGGATACAGTGACGGGTTAGAGGAGCCATACGTTGTCCAGCTAGCTTACGTTAGCGTTGAGTGACATGATGCTAATTATGTGCAGCTTAGCTAACAGAAACACAGGGCCCAGTTGCATTTACAGCTCTCAGGTTTCTAATATCTGTTTACATTTCCACATTAAAATAATATACATAATTTACATTAATGAAAGCTCCTATGGTTTGTTTTGCTTTATACCAAATAAGCTTACATGACTTGAGTTGTGTAATCGCATGTTGTATAGGTATACTGGTCTGTCATAACACTGGACAGATCCAGTTATATACTCTCAATGAAGCTAGTATTCTGTGGATCATGCTGCTATTGTAGTCTCTACTGTAATGCAGGAAAGCTGGTCTTTACCAGAAATGTTGGAGAGTTTAGAGTCACTTGTTTGGCCGCTGCCTGCGTTGTCTGTTGGTTGGTATTGCAATCGTTTGCTGGTTAATGAATTATGCAGTGAGAAGCTAGGCTACCAAGGGCTGTTGTCAAGCTGGTTAACATTACAGTGCTTTACACATTTGACCATGTAGTAAATGACTTGGCTGTCATCAGATGAAATCCTTATTCATTTGGAGTGAGAGTGTGTATATATACATGTGTGGATGTGTCTGTGAAAAGATGTGCTTTTGTGAGCTTAACATTACTATCAGTGTGCCTCTGTGTGTGTTTACATACATAATTGAACGTGTACATTGCTCTTCACAGACAGGAGAATCAGGAAAGGGAACAGTAGTTCATGGAAGACAAGAAAAAGAAAAAAGAAGATAAAAAGAAAAGGGAAACCTCTCAGAAGGTAAACAAGTTAACAGAACATTCCCAGCTGACTTTGCCTGGTTTTGCACATGATATTCTGGCTTACATATCGTTACCACTTTTCTTGGCAAGGACTGTGTTTGTTGAATTGGAATATTTTATTAGGTTTTATGGACTAGCATCTTCAGAAGGATGTTTTCATGCTTGGAAATTGTAAAAATGAGCATTCCATGTGATGTTTGCTCGGATATTGCCTTGCTAGCATATGTCCTGGTGTATCATATTTATTTGCCACCAACAAATTATGTTCTGCCTTTTTGATCTTACTCACTTATTCTTTGTCTTTTAGGTGCCAGAACAGAAAATCAAAGGTATGTTTATTTTTAATATGATCATGTCAGTGGCAGTCTTTTATATCTTGTTGTTAAATATGCTTTAATAAGTAGTATCCTGTTTTTAAAGCACAACTGCGATGACCATGAGTATTAATTCGTAGGATTATGCACAAATAAGCTCACATTTTAGAAACTTGCCACCTATTCTTAAACTTTTAGCCACAGTATCTTCACTTATCTGCATTTTGTTTACATCTTGTCAGAATTGAAGTTCCCAAACTGTCTTTCTCTCCTTTATCATGTTTAAGTCATTGGTTAATATCCATAACATTCATCTGTTTGCAACTTATATATTTCAATATTCCAATTACTTGTATATAGACAATTCTGCACTATTTCTACTATATTATATTTTATTTTATTTACTTGCACTATTATCTGTTTTATTGTGTTGCACTGTTGAAGGTGCCTGTAACCTAAGATTTTCATTGTCATAACTACACTGTAGCTATACACAAATGACAATAAAAGCCTTGAATCCTTGAATATATTTTATTTTCTGTGTATTTCAGTGCCAGAATCAGCCAAACCCTCCTGTTCCCAGGCTCTAGCCACCCCAGGCTCAGTGTCCCCCAGCCCTGGCCCTGTTGCCCCCTCGTCTCCCAGTCCTGGTGCAGCCGGGGTTTCTGCACAAGTTCCTCCTGGTGGCGGGAACAATGCAAAGCAGCGGACTGCTGTGGCCAACGGACAGCCCACCTCCTCCCCCTCTGGAAGCCAGACCTCCCAACAGCAGCGATACATGTCCAGAGAGGTTCCGCCGAGATTTCGCTGCCAGCAGGACCATAAAGTGCTACTGAAGAGGGGCCAGCCGCCGCTGTCCTCCATGCTACTGGGGGGAGGCGCAGGGGACGGGGGTGTTGGAGGAGGCAGTGGCTGGGCAGGCGCCCCATCGCTCTCCTCCCAGGGAGCCGATGCAAACACAGCTGGAGGCGCAGGTGGGTTAATGTCTCGGAAGAAGACAGGGCTGCTCTATTATGGCAAAAATCATAATCACGATTATGTTGGTCAATATTGATATCACGATTATTAAATAAGATTATTCATTGACTTTGAAAACATCCATTTATTGAACTTTTAAAAAAAATGTATAATGCAAGACAAATGCAGCAAAATAATGTTTTTATTTCGATTACGTTGTTTTCGTAATCGTTGCAAGCCAGAATCGTAATCTGGATTAAAATACGATTAATTGCACAGCCCTAGAAGAAGATGATCGAACTTGATATGAAGTCCACTGAACAATACATTTTTAGAAAGGCCACTTTGCACTTTACAGTTTATCAAACAGCAATATAACATCTGCACAGCTCTCCACTTTCTCTCCACAACTTTTTCAGATTTTTCTTTATTTATATTTTGTGTAGATATTTATCTTTTTAAAATCTTGTTTTTCTTTCTTATTGTGCTTATGTATGTACTATTTACACCAAAGCGTGCTAACCTTTCTTTAAAATAAAACTGATTCTGATTCCTAACATCATTTTACAACAGCATCAGTTGACATTAGAGAGATTAATAAGGGTAGGATAGAGGGGATGACATGCGTAAAAGGACCCTAGGCTGGATTTGAACCTGGGTCTGTTGCAGCAGGGACACTGGTCACCAAAAATACCTACAATTTTAGATATATAAAGTTTTAAGTGGCAACAATAATATGTACTCACTGAACTGACTAATAATTGTTAGTAATAGAGTGCCACAGTGACGCGTCCTAAAACCCGTAAAGTAAGTTAGCATTTTACCACTTCCGGTTCCTTCGACAAAAAGCAATGCAATTTCTCCATAGTTTAGGAAAATAGCTGGAACTAAGGTCTGTGGTTGAGACACATTAAAGAGACGGATCACGTTTTGTTCTACAACATTAAATACACCAGCAGTGACCCCACTGGGGATTTCTGAAGAATTTACGTGTCTGAAAAACGAAGTTGTCGAGGCCGCTGTACGTCATTACGCCGAACACGTAAAACACTCCCGCTAAGTTTGTTGGCCCTGTTCTGCTTGAAAGCAAGTACCTGCCTCCTGCAAACTGTTCAAACAAACGCTTCAACTTGTACCATTTAGAATCTGAATATGGATCTTAAGTTGGCGTGACGTTGAAGCAGCGACCCTGCTGTAGTTTGTTTATAGCATAACGTTAGCATTTTGCTTCTGGCGACTAGATTTATGATTTAGAAAATGATAAAAGTAGGGTAGACATGAGGAGATTATCCGGCTGAACAAAACGTGATCCGTCTCTTAAATGTGTCTCAACCACAGACCTTATTTCCAGCTATTTTCCAAAATCCTATGGAGAAATTGCATTGCATTTTTGTCGAAGGAACCGGAAGGAGTTTACTTCCTGGTTTTAGGACGCGTCACTGTGGCACTCTATAGGAGAACCATCTGCTACCTATTTGGTGTTGAAAATGCTTAAATTGTCAATCAAATAAATGTTCTCCACTTTGTCTCCATAGATTCCAACCTGGGTTCATCCTCCACTTCACCCCCCAACTCATCCTCATCATGCGTCGCTGCTTCTACTACTACTACTTCAACTTATGCAAATTCCACTTGGGGGGCGGGCTCGGGCAGCCAGTCCTCCTCTCAGGGCTGCGGGAAGGTAATAGTGGACAGGACGGACCTGGGGGATTGGCCTAGCATCCTAGGAGGGGCCAACTCGAGTTCTGATGGGGCCGGAGGAGGAGGAGGTGATGAGCAGGAGCAAGACCGCCCTGGAAACAACAACAACAACAGTAGTGCCTCGTGGAGTGAGAGAAACATCCAGCAGAAGGGAGGAGCAGCAGCAGCAGCAGCAGCAGCAGGAGGAGGAGGAGGAGGAGCAGGGAACATGGACAATCCTTCCTCGCCTCGTTCTTCTCCTCTTTCCCCCTCTTCTTCCTCGCTTAATGAATGTGTTCAGTCGAGCGGCGGCGCGTGGAGCTCTTCCTCCTCCTCTCAGGCGGAGACGGGGCTCGGGTCGGCAGCGTTTTACAATTCCAAAGTCTCCCATATTCTTCCCGGGCCTCAGGAGAGCCCCGCAGGTGGCAACAGCGGCGTCCCTGGTGCCAATTTCAACCCCAACGTGAACCCCTCCGCCTGGCCCGCCCTGGCGACGGGTGGGACGTCGACTCCAGCTGGCGACGGACTTCCACTACACTCGTCCATTACTCCGGCTTCCTCGTTCTCTGCCAGCACCGCACTCATCACCACTCACCCTCTTTCATCTGTGAATCAGCCTAGCGTCCATCAGACACAGACAGCTGTAGGTGGAGCTCAGCAGCACTTAGGAAACCTCGGGCCGGAGTCGGGTTCAAGAGGACCAAATCAAGAAGGCGGAGAGCGGGACTGCGGAGGGGCAGAAGGAGAAGGAAGTGTCGGCGCTTTGTCTTCCTCTTGGAGATCCATGCCTTCGGTGTCCTCCGACCCGAGTGCAGGTGGGAGCTCGCAGGAAGACGGGTGGGGTGGAGCAGGAAGTGGAGCAGGAAGTGGAGCTCAGGGGCAGGACGGGAGTGTGTGGGGCTTTGGAAGCCAGGGTGACAAGGGAGGGTGGGGCAGGGGAAACGATGGTAGCTCAAATACCACAGCGGTATCTCAGGGAGCGTGGGAAGGAGGCAGTTCAGAAGGGGAGTGGGGGGGCACGGCGGGAGGTGTAAGTTCGAGCAACTTAGCAATAGGAAGAGGAGGAGACGGGAGCAGCAACAGCAGCAGCAGTGGAGGCAGCGGCAGCGTTTTGAAGGACTCCACCTCACCAAAGTTGGCAACTATGACAAAAGCTTGGGACAATCAGAAAGGGATGGAAAGTGGGGATGGGGAGTGGGGGGGAGGGCAGGTGGGAGGCCCGGCAGTTGGGGCGCCTTCATCCTCGAGCGGAGGAGGGTCCACAGCTGGAAGTGGCGGAGAAGGGAGCGACAGCGGACATAAACAAGAGCAAGCCTCGTCCGAACAGCCGTCCTCCGAGAGAACCTCCAATGCTGACGTGGCCTTACAGTGCATGCTCAATCGATCTGACCTGGACCCCCGGATTCTTTCCAACACCGGGTGGGGGCAAACCCAGATCAAACAGAATGTGGCCTGGGACCTGGACCCCGCGACGGGACAAAGAAGCAGAAACGAAAGAAGCTCTTCATCTTCCTCTGCATTCCCATCGTCCACCATGAACACCACCACGAGTCGCAGCTACCCGTCTAACACCAGTTCAATAACTAACGATCCATCCAGCTCCGGAGCGAGGGACGGCTGGGAGGGGGGGGCTCCACAGACCACCTCCGGTCCTCACATGGGTGGTAGCTCTGCGAGGAAGCCAGCAGCGCCAGAAGAAGCTGGAGGATGGGGTGAGCCTCCACCTGAGAGCCAGGGCAAAGGTTGGGGGACTGAAGAGAAGAAGTGGGGTGATCACAGAGGAGGAGGAGGCGCAGGAAGAGGAGGAGGAGAAGGACGAGGAGAAGGACGAGGAGAAGGACGAGGAGAAGGACGAAGAGGAGGAGGAGAAGGAAGAGGAGGAGGGAACTGGAGAGACTATGGAGAACAGGGTACAGGGTGGAAGGAAGGTCCAGAGGATAAAGGGACATCGGGATGGAAGGGCAGTGGAAGAGGAGAAGCCGGTGGTTGGGGAGGAGACCGGGGACAGAGGGACTCCATAGCTGGAGATGGACGAAGCAGAGGAGGAAACCACTCCGACGAGAAGGGATCTTCCTGGGGTCATTCAGATGATTCTCAGGGGGGAGGATGGGGAGGAGGGGGAGATGTGGGTGGAGGCAAATCTCACCAGGACTGGGGGAGTTCCAAGCCCCACACAGCAGCAGCAGCAGCACAGATACCAAACAGCCAAGTGGCACCAATGAAAGCCCCAAATCAACAGCAGCACCAATCACAGGGCCCGCCGCCACAAGGAGGCCCGCCGCCACAAGGAGGCCCGCCGCTACAAGGAGGCCCCGCTCAAGGAGGTCCCGCTCAAGGAGGTCCCGCTCAAGGAGGTCCCGCCCAAGGAGGGTGGAACAGCCGGTCCAACGTCGGCGGTGGAGCTCCACCTCCCAGGAATCAGAACCAAAGTTC